ATGGAATGGGTTGCAGTTGCAAAAGAAATAGACCAAGCTTCATGAATGATGCACAAGTAGTAAGATGCCCTAATTGAACAGATACTGGATATTGGCTTAGGACACCAACAAATAATAATCTTGAAACAACACATTTATAAAGCATTTAAAAGTGTTACTTCCTGCTCGATGCACAACAGCTGCTAGATGACATTTCAGACTGTTTGAGTTTTATTTGAATCTCCAGTGATTGAGCACATGTAAGTTTTACTGACTTGCAGTTAATGTTTTGTTCTACAGCAGTAAGAAACACATTTGCTTTTCAGTTGTGTTGGTGGGCAGTCAGATGAGCTTCTGTGACGGTATCAGAGCTGTTCTGTCTTTCCAAATCCACCAGAGAGAAACACACTCTGGTTGAAGTGCTCCATGTTGACTAAAGTCTGTGTGTGCCACAGCTGTGGCTTTATCTGTGAAGTGCCAACTTGGCATCGCCCTGAGAAAAAAACTCCCACCCTCTTGTCCACATCAGCAGCTTCACCAGGGACTGTCTGTCTGTACGTCATACCACCAGACTGCTGGGCACACAGTATCATGACATGATTATTCTAAGAAAATGGAAAATCTTTCGGCTACTAAGCGTTTATAAATACATGCTTGAAAAGAATCTGTCCAAGCTGGCATGCGACAAGATATTTAGTGAGAGGGGAACAGGCCAACTGTAGAAGCTTACATTATATACAGAATATGCAAACAACTTTACCAACAAAGTTTAACTTTATTTCATTGTTGGTAAGTTGTATTCATTTTTCTTCTTGCCACTTGGATTAGACTGACATATCAGCGTCACATCTTATAAACTGTTATGCTGTTGTTTTTGGCATACAGTTACCTTATCTGGAGTTCTGCAGGAAATGATCTGGGTTTTCAGATGCTGAATGCCCTCTTGTGTTTACCAGGTAGCTGCTAATCTTATCTGCTTCTTTTTAATTGATAAGCATGTAGCATACAGTTTCATTTCATTTCAAGCCTTTATTTACCCAGGTGTATCCCTTGAGATCATTGATCTCTTTTTCAAGGGAGACCTGCTAAGTGTGTTCTCAGAACTCTTTTGCCTCTTTTGTCTAAAGATAAAATGGAAAACTAAACGATGAACTTATTAGAATGTGTTTTAGACTGACAAAAAAAGACATTTCGAGACATTAACTTGAACTCTGAAAAACCTTACATAGACAACCAAGCTGTAAGAACACTATAGCTTGGTTGCAGTATAATGGCGCTTTTCCACTGCAGGGCCTCGCTCGGCTTAGTACGGTATGGTTAGGCCTAGTTAGGCCAGGCTCACTTTATGCTGCGTTTCCATTACAGTTTAGGAACCGGGGTAGTATCTATAGTAACGCAGTGTAGGCGGAGCCGTGACGTCATCTTCAATGCGAAACACAAAACCAACATCAGCTGTTAGCTGTTAGCCCTCAGAGCTCACAGCTCTTCACATCTGTTCAGAGACTAGACAAAAGTTAAACAAGTACAAACCACAGACTGCCTGTGTCATGGTGAATACAGTCGCTGCTTTATTTATGTCTGTATAGGCCGTTGTTGTGAGTGTGGACGGTCGGAACATATACAACGTTAGCTTAACCAAGCTCCATTCAGAAAACACGCATTTTAAAAGGTTTTTCGCCTGCCGTCTGTCTGCAGACTTGTCAAAGCATTAATTCATGGTTTTTACTAACCGGTATCAGTATGTTGTTACTTCGGCATCATTTTGAAACGTGTATTACAATTAAATCACGGTAAAATATTTTCATTTTGTTGTAGTTGCCAGCGATTCTCTCACTAGTTTAGCATACACAGTCCGGTTGTTGGCCCGGAAAGAACCTCGATTTTAGAGAGCCAGAAAACTGGGAAAAAGTACCCGCTAGCCGGAACTACTCCTAGTGGAAACGCAACCAAAAACAGGCCCGGCACGGCACGCTTAAACCGTGCTCCGCGCTGTAGTGGAAATGCGCCATAAGAACACTAATTAAATTATAGAAGTTTTGTCCCATAACTTTGAAAAATCTCTGATCTCATTTCCTGTGTTTGCTCTCAGACTCTGTGTCACATGTTTGCTTCCAGGGACACAAATTCACACCTGCCCTACCCGGCATCCCAAAGCTATTTCCGTCCACTTCATCGCTCTTGCAGAACAACTTTCATTCATCAGTCTCTATTCTTAGTCCTGTAATGCTTAAGACCATGTGCCAAGTCTTTGTTCACTACAAGTGTTCCTAGAATCTCTCTGTATCTTAGCCGCACAGATAACCCAATTCATCCACTTATAAGCTTCCACAGAAGAACCGTTTTATAAATAATTGTACACGCTGCTATTCTGAGAGGATTGTCGGTTTGCAATTTAAAGGTACAGAAAGATTTCAATTCATGGGTGAATGACAACAATTTGATTATAAAATATGCGCTAACATTTGTGCTTTTTGGCTATAATTGAACAAGAACACACATCTCTGGGCAAACAACTGAATTAAAACGTTCATTTAGCTACAGCCGTGAGACAAAGACCGCTACATTTGTCCTGTTTAATCAAACAACACATCTTTATTGTGCTTCAACCTCTCACTCCGTTTACACTGCTCACAATTGTTTGAACAACAATAACAACCAACACTTTTTCTGCTGTGTTTAGGGAACTAATTACGGAAACCTTGGCCGTTCCGATAAAAGGCCGGGGCGACTTTAGCTATTCATAGCCTTCCTCCTCTGAGCTCACAGCAGTGAACTGGGAGTCCCGGGGGGGGCTCAGTGCAATCTGAGATAGGTCTAATGCTTCCCACCGCAGCACCGTGCAGCAGAGAGGGGAGAAGCCTTACAAAGGGGCCAGTGACTTCTCCTCAAGGTCAAAGCAATTGGTTTCCGCTGTGACAGATAAAGTATGTGAGCCACCGGAAAAAAATTCTCATCATGTCTGTAGTGCATTGAGAGTTGGAACTGCCGTCTGCTTAGCTGATTCTTAATTTGTCACAGTAATGATTAGCTAAACACCGCATGTGAGCTTTGAAAAGGCCTATTGGCACCGTTTAAAGCTACATTAGCTAAGATTATGTACAATTCAACAGACAAAAATAAACCTCTTCATAGGAATGTGTGTGACCAGCATTGAAACTCTGACCTCATGTGCCTCATAGTGAACCACCAAGTGTAATTTGGGTATACATCGAGATAATAACAATTTTTAAATCCCAGAAAGAATTGTTACTAATTAAGGATTAGACAAAAAAAGATCACTCCAAATGTCTGTCCTTTTGTGTATTCACTATATAATAATTGTTAGGAAGACCCCTTTTGTATATATTGTGGCATTCTTAGAGAAATATGTGACGGCATGACTTTCATATGGGCTTAAAGCACAATGTAAATATATGAAGGATAGAAAGTGTGTGTTTACCATAAAGATGTTGGAGCTGCCTTGTCATGCTCAGTTTTGATCAATTATTTTAAGATTTGTAGAATTTCTATCTTGGCCTCTGCAAATGCATTCACAGTTTGTCCCCCTTTATTAAGAGGCTCCACTCCGGCTCTTATTTCTCGCCCCTTGTCTTACAGCTTTTATGAATTGTTGATCATTGATACTAAACAGCCTTTTGAGGATGGAACTGCTTTACATGTTACTTTCACAGCCCACCACCACTTTGAATTGACAAATCCATGATTCACACATCCCACTTCCCTTTATTTACATAAGTCTTTCTTGCCACTTGAATGTTGAGTCAGTGGAATAACATTGTGTTTTATGATGATTTGCTTTTGAGTTCTTTAAGTTGTGTTTGCTTGAGCTCTAGTCTGGTTTTAGATTCCATAGATAATAAATCCAGACACACATAGTTGTTGGTAAAGCGTAAATAGAAAGAGATCATGGAAAACCATTCAAGAAGAATCAAAACGTAGTAATTTTCTTAACTTTTGTAGCATCCAAAAAGTGTGCAGATGTTACTCTTTTGCTCTTTGAAACTGTTGTTCTAATAGACAACTACTACGGTTTTAATGGAGAAATCAGCCAATTAATAAAAGCCTTTTTCCATCATTTTGTGAGCAGAACAATCTGATACTGATCTCATTGCATTGCTTTGGTATTGTCAAGATATGGAGAATCCACATACTGTTTCTAAGTCACTTTAACTATACCAACATAGTTTGTATAAAGTGTAAAAACAATTGTATGAAAGCCTGAAGAAAAGTTTGATGGATGAACTGGATTTGTATAGCCTCATGAGACTACACAATACCCTGAGTGTATCTAAATTGGTATGTGGAGAGAGAGAGGTTTTTGCACCAATAGTGTTCGTCAGGTTGCGTGTAAGTGCAGGGACATTTGGACTGAAAGAAGCTTCAAGGGAGTTGATGCTTTGATGGTGACAGATTAGAGCTGTACTTGGATTCCTGTCTGCTTTCTCAGAAAGAAGCTGTCTCATTGTAGATAAAGCTCTGGTGCCTCTCCTTCAATTGCACATATGCTTTGGGACATTACAGAAGCAGGCTGTGCGACTTGTGTGTTTATTCAGAAGGGTTGCCATCTGAATCTACTGAATGCACAGCAGCAACACAGGATTTACAACATAAACAATGTTTATTTTTTCCGAAGCATGTATTTCGGGGTACGTTTTGCTTTTGACAGATTGGACTTTTTTGATGTATTTGTAGGAAGACTAGAAGCTCTGAAGGCTTTTCTGTCAGCATGTGAGCCACAGCATCCAGCGCTGTGTGATCTGAAGCCAAACCAAATCACTCCCGCCTTTTTGTCCTTGTCTGCTTCTCAACAGCAATGGTTTGTCTCCAAGGGCAAATGGTTAATTATTTTGAAGAGTAATAGTCCCACAATAAGCAATTAACTGTTTAGTGGATAATTATTTCATCTAAGCAGTTGTTTGATCATTACATTTTTGCCTCACAAACACAAGCTGTGTTTGGAAATGAAACATTACCATAATTTAACCATCTGCCACTCTTGTCCTTTTTGTTTCTCTTTGCAGAATGCCAAGGCCTTCTCCTCCTCAGACAGCCTAGCGAAGGTCCAGGAGGTAGCAAGCTGGCTTTTGGAAATGAACCAGGATCTGCTGTCGGGGGGCAGCAGCAGCAGGCGGGGTCGGGGGCCGGGGGGTCCGGCAGTCCGAGGTAACGCCTCCTCCACGACCCGGGCACCCCAACAGGCAGCAGAGGAGGGTGATGAGGATGAGCACATGAACCGGGTAGTAGAGGAGGAAGAGCAGCTGCAGCAGAGGGTAAGGCCAGCGGACATTCAACACAAAACATTGATAGGAAGGCTTTATAAAGATTCATCAAGGCATGTACATTTATAATATATTGCTATGGCATAACTACACTTTTACTAATGATTGAAACTGCTGGCGGAACGTGGGAAATCAGCGCATGCTAGTTATGTTCCAGTGATTCGCTCTCCAAATGTTCACATAGTCAAATCTTCTAGTGTGTGGTGTCTTTTTTTATTTTGTTTTGTACCTGCTTATTATTTTTATACAGGAAATAACTTAATGTGGGTATTGATAGTTTGTTTGACAGAGTTTCCCTTGGCATTTATTTTGCCTCTATCAACTTATGGTTGCCTAGTAACCTTATCCTTTTTATACCCTACTAACCAGTATTACACAAACTGTGTAAACAAGATTCACAGCTCTGTGCCGGCAACTGAAGAAAATATACACAGGTCTGAATCCTTTAGGTCTTAAATGTAGCCCAAAGTGGACATTATGTCTGCGGAGATTTTAATATGTCGGACTTGAACCGATTTTCCGGTTAAAAAAATGGGACCTATGTCAATAGCAAAACCCCTACAACAGATTTAAAGGGGACCTATCATGCAAAATGCACTTTTGTACGTCTTTTATACATGAATATGTGTCCCCGGTGTTCCAGGGAACTCACCAAGTGTCAGAAAACACAACCCTCTCTATTTTCCTCCATACCCAAATCTCTAAAAAAGGGGCTGCAACGGATCTGATAAAAACTGATCCAGATTTGAACACTGTCCTGACGTCAGGACGGTGGCGCTACGGCTATTGGGCCAACTCCACCAATCAGGAGGAGACAGCCACGGCCATTGCCGTTCGAAAGCGCTGGAGACGCTGTAGTACATATGCCAGGCCTGTAGATGGTGCTGTTCTCACTGAATCAGCCCTTGCAAAAACAGGGGTAAAAAAGTGCAAATTGAGCGAAATGAGGCATGGCTAAAATGCATGATCTGTTTGGTATTTTGAAAAAAAAAAGGTATAAATATGCCTTATATAGGTATGGTCCTACACTATATTATTCAAATATAGCTTGATAGGTCCACTTTAATTTACCATCAGACTGTCCTCTGAGGCATTGTGCTTTCTTTGGCTCCTCACAGGCTGAGGCGTCGCAGGTTGATGGCGAGAGGGAACAACCATGGGCTCCAAGTGAGTCGGGAGCCAGCAACGGCCCTCGGGGGGACGAGGACGGCGAGGAAGACGAGGAGGGGCCTCCAAACGAAGTGAACGGAGGCGAGAAAGGAGCCCGATGGATGTGGGGGGCGGAGCAGAGGAGACTACGAGGCCAGCCGCTGGGCGAGGAGGAAGAGGAGGAGGAGGAGGAAGAGGAGGAGAACAACAACAGCAGCAGTCACCAAGAGGAGGAGGAGGCGGAGGAGAGGACAGAGGGAGGGGAGTCACAGGGGAGGGAGGAAGAGGAGAGGGAGGAGGAGGAGGATGAGGACGAGGACGAGGAGGAGATGGACCAAGATAGTGACGAGTTTGAACATTCGGCGGAGAGTGGCAGGGAGGAGGAAGAGGAGGAGGAAGGAGAGGGGGAGGACGGGCTTCGGTGTCCCTCCCTCAGGAACAATGTGTCCACCCCCAATAACAACCTGGACTCGGGTTGTACTCACCAAAGCTCTTCCAACAAGAAGGTAAGAACAGTTTTCATGTGCTTTACCTCCCCCTGAAGAAGTAGTCCTCTTCACAGAGAGTGGTCTAAAAACCCCAGAGTTTACAGGGACAATGTTTCTGGAATCAATACTATAGGACCACAAACAACATGTAATGCATCTCCATTGTATCAGAGTAAAGGCAGGACCCAATACATCATGACTAAATGAAACCAAGCATTTTCATGACTGACCAGGTACCGCTAGACTCGAGTAAGAATACTTTCAATTCCAGTGTAATGACCCTTTAAGATACTTGTGCAGCAGTTTCACAAGTTTCTCACAGACAGTGTTTGACTGTTGTCACATCGCTGCTGTGAAACTCCCCACAATGCTCTGCACTGGCAGCAAATGTTTATATTTAAAGCAGCAGCTCCCTCTTCTGGCATACGAGTGCAATTGCACTTCAATAAAGTGCAGTAGACAGTACTTTTTATTTGTGACAACTCTTACCCTAGGATTATGTTACAAAATAAATTATATGACTTCCTTTTTATCATACTTAGGGTTACAGATATCACCTATTATTAAGTATTTCATCAAATCATTGAGTAAGAAATAGAAGAAATACTTTTGATTTAATAAAGAGAAAATAAGACAGTTTTCTTTAAATTAACATTTGGATTCCATACAACATTTTTAAAAGCTTAAATGTGGGGTGTGTAATTTTGGAGAAACCAGCTTGAGTGCGCTAGAATTTGAAAATACACAACCGGAGAAAATCTGCCACTTCCTTATAGAGCCCCTCCTCCAACACACACGAACGTACACATGACCAATGAGGGCACGAGATAAGTTTGTGCACAGATGGAAGGCTGACAGGCAGGTAGGCCATCCAGTTATTTTAGCCGGGCCGGCTAAAATGATTGGTCGTGCTTTTTACAGTACCACGGCTTCCACAGATGACATTGTTTTATGTATTTATTGTCAAAGCATTTCATATATTCATTGCTATCGGGATGTTAAGAGCATTCCATGGAATATAACAAAAAGTGTTTCTGAAATAAATTACATACCCCACTTTTAAATAACATACAATGATACTTGAAAAAACAAAAACAAAATTAAGTGCATTTAAGTGATTAAAACTGTTTGGGTTTTAAAGAAAACATTTGATTTTTCCAAATCAAAAATAAAGGGTAATATGACATGCTATTAAATTGACCGGATGTAGCATTTATGAAGCATACGCTGTTACCACTTAAGGTGCTCCAGAAGATATATCCAACAACCTTCCTGAAGGGGGTAGATGATCAGATCCCACTGCTGGCATTAATGAGACATACAGGAGGGTGTGGATAAATGCTGAATCACCAGTGATTAAAGCAGCTGTTAGGTGTTGTCACAACAATCGGAAAAACAGATTAACTTATCAGAAGTTAAAGTCTTTCTGTGCCTCTTGTTTCAGAAGTGTAATCACGCACTGTACTCCTGTCACAGACTGCATGACAATGTGGGGCTGGAGTGACAGCACAGGAAGAAGAAATTATAGCTGAACCGCCTCTTCGTAAAACACTTCATCTTGTTTTAGGACAAGTTGAAACTCCAGGCACGTTCATGCCTCCCTGATTGATTGCTGACATGATGAGTTTGAAAACCTCTTAATGTTCAGAAGACGAGTGTAACAAATCGTCAGATCTTCCCTCAGTAACAGCGCTAACGTGCTCGGTGCACACGGCTCTTATTGCACAGCTCCAGTGTTTATTGCCAGGTGTCTTGTTTCAGTGATGACATGGATATTTTGTTGAGTGTTTCAGTGGCCTTCAAAACACCTGTATTTAAACGAGGGGAATGGAGTTGGCCATGATGTTTTACTAGAAGTTGTAGATGGTATTTATTGCTTGCAGTGACTTTGCAATGCTATGACATAGACTATAATACAAAGGGCTGACATCTTTAGACTTTGACATATTACTGAAAATGTATCTATGAATGTATTTAGTCCAAACAAGCACATTTACTTAGAAAATAGAAGTAGTTTAATGCCATCATGGCCCTGTTTGTCCTCTAGACTCCATTGTTAATAATAGCCTGTTGGAGTATTAAGATCATTTCAACAGATGGTGGCGCAAGTAAAAAAACAACAACTTCAAACCAATTTGATTCAATTGAACTGATGACTACATTGTGCAATAGTCGTTAAAATCTGCAGCAGCAATTACCCACCCTAACTCAGTATTTGTCCGGTTTTAATTTTAATCCATACCCATACGTTATAGTTTTCTTTCCCAAAATAATGCTAGATGCAGATATTTACATCATGTGTGATATAATAATGGAACATAATGGAACAAGACTTACGTGAATGATGTTTTATGCCATTATATTGTATCGTATATATTCATATTTATGCTCGAAGGCTAGCTTATGTGATAAGGAAAAATGCCACAATATATTTCTAGTTGGTCAGAGACCTTAAAATCCTCCTTTGGGCAAATATGTAATGGAACAACTAATTTTTAAATCAAATTTAAAATAATCACACTTCTGATTTTCTGAGATGCAGCCATTTTCTTTAACCTACTATATTATGGATTATATATATATGGAGAAAGCAGAAGTCCTGTGTGCTCAAAGAATACATATCGGCTAGTATGATAACAGAAACTGCATTTTTTTTGCATAACTATTTCTTCAGATTTGTTCTCAGGCACGCCAGAAAACACTCCCAAGAGATATTCAACATTTCAATAGCAGGCACAGTGTTTTAATCCAGCAGAGGTAATATATAAGAGATCAGAGATAATAAACACATCTCAACAGACGGTAATAACCAAAGCTGTGACAGATTTATCATCAGCAGTGAAGTCTCATGACATGTACACTGCTTCCCCCGACACTCACTATGAAGTTTAATTATTGCTGTTGAAGAGCATTTGTCTCTCTCAAATGTCACAGTTGTTTCCTGTATTCCATGTCATACCTGAGTGGTGTTCTGTGTGTGTGTCTGAGCCTTTGATGGAGACATTGCCCTTGCTTATATTGGCCTAAATATAGCAGTTATTCTGAATTTGTTCCTGTGCGCCTCTCACCATCTGACGCAGCTGTCAGGAAGGTTTGTCAGGGCCTCAGTCACTGCGCACGGCCAGCTGGCTTTGATGTTGAAAGTACACATTTTGTTCAGCTGTGGGTCCTGAATGCTTGGAATTCGGGGAGGTGCAGGAAGACTCGATTGACATTTATTTGACGGTTCAAGGGAGTCCTCTCAAATATTAATACAAATCTGATATATTCATATGTTTTGTTTTGACTGCCCAACACTTAATCCTCATAGTATATTTATTTTACCACGAAAAACACTGCAGAGAAAAGCAGAAAAACCCTCTCAAATAATAAACTGGAACAATTGTGGACTTTATTTAATTGAAACTTTATCAAAACAGTTGCAGATGAAGTCACTTAATATTGCAGCTATGGTGACAGCCTATTGGCAATGATTAGATGATGAAGGTAACTCGTATAAACATTAACACAAGCTTTAAGAAGTTCAAAGTACTGTGTAGTGAGCCTCAATGTAGCTTCAACAATGATTTATACCAGGGGTGTCAAACTCAAGGCCCGGGGGCCAAATCCGGCCCGCGACTTCATTTTATGTGGCCCGCAAGAGCTTGCAAAGAATATAATATGTTTATTATACGGTTACATGCTACTTTACAGTATATCTATATATGTTCATTTTAATTTTATAGTTATTTATCTTGTTTCTTTTATCTTTGATTTATCCTTAATTTTATTAATCTGTGTTAATCTGTCCTGTTTTTCATTCTCACCCTGTTGCTGTTAAACTACTGAATTTCCCCACGGGGATTAATAAAGGTCTATTTTATCTTATCTTAGATTACAGAAGCATGTTGCCCATAAACTACATGTCCCACAATGCATCTCATTTTGTGACATGCGCACTGAAGAGACTTGCAATTATTTGCCCTAGACTTCTGCTTTCAGACATAGTTAATTATGAAGTTATTACCCTATCCAATAATAATCCAATGCAGAGGCAATCATATAATGTAATACATTATTTCATATATATTATGTATTTATATATGTATTTATATATAGTTACAACCGGCCCTTTGAGTGCAAGCATAATGCTAATGTGGCCCACGATGAAATTGAGTTTGACACCCCTGATTTATACAGATCACATAACAACTAAAAACCTCTGTCTGACAAGGTAAATAACCAAACAGTTATTTAAGTATTTGTGCATTTTATTTGTTACAAAGTGTCCCCAAGTAGCCATGGATCTTCTATCTGCTTTTGAGTCCTATTAGCAGTTTTTTAACACAACAATATGCTAATCATTTCACTTCATTATAAAAACGCTTAAATAAACAAGCCAATCTTCAATGTATGTTAATTTATTAATATGGTTAGTGAGAAAATAGGTATTTCTCTATACATTTATACTTTTCAAAACCAAGGCAAGTTTATTTATATAGCACCTTTCAACACAAGGCAATTCAAAGTGCAGTAACAGTAGTAGATGGATAACCTTCATATAAATTACACAGTTAAAGGTCCCATGTGTGCTCCCATAGAGCATACGTGTGCAGTCCTGGAAACTATGATATATGCTTTTTGTGACAGCTGCAGGATCCATGTGTCAAATAAGGGCCAGCAGGTTGTAGCAGAGGATCAGTACCCATGTTTGGACCGAGAACGAGTCCGTCCATGTGGGGTTAGCTGATGTCTGTGTGCATGTGTAAAGGTGTAAACTAGAAGTAGCATTACAAAACCCTGGATGTTGTGCTTTCTGTGCGCGTGTTCACATGTCCCTGCTGAGGACAGATTTTGTTCCCAGGCACTTGGGGCTGTTGGCTCGGGTCTCAAGAATGAGACGCTTCACCTCCTCTTCTTACTCGCCACAAATCGAGCCAACGTGGTGATACTCGGGGTCATCATTTCTCTTTTTGACATTCTTTAAGATCTCCATGAATCAGTATTCAAACACCCCTGCAGCCCTGATGTGCAAAGAG